TCACAAAATACACACATCTATGATGTTAGGGAAACTTCCATGGAGATAGCATTTTCTTTCCTCAAAAGTTCAGGGAAATTATTGTTGCAAGCCCCAGGACAAATGGAGGTCTGTCTGTGGACATTTTCCCAGGTTAGTAACATTAATAAGGAACTAGACTAAAAATTTTAGCATTCTCTTCTTCAGAAAATAAAATATTGTGTTTTAGATGTTTATTTATTTGTCTTCACTAAGTACAATTTTGGTAACTTTAAGTGTAGTGGTCTAGAGGCTCCCTAAAGTGTGCACAGTGTCAATGTAAGGAGCATAGTGAGAGTAGAGTAGAGTAAGGAGCACCTCTCGGGTCCATGGGTCCCATGAAAACATCAGGATATAACAGCGGTCCTCAATCTCAGGCTCTCGATCCTCATGTCAATCACATATCAGATGTCCTGCATGCCAGATATTTGCATTACAATTCATAACATTAGCCAAATTACAGTTATGAATTAGAAGCAAAATAATTTTATGGTTGAGGGTCACCACAACATGAGGAACTGTATTAAAGGGTCCAAAAATTATGAAAGTTGAGAACTACTAAGATATAGATCAGAGCTTCTTAGGAATGTTAAGGGAAAATCAAGTTTGTCAAGGAGTTTTGGTAATTGTAACACAGTCTTGGTGGTTCTATATAATGTCATATTATGATATTAGCAAGTTTGTGTAGTGGGTAGCCATTTCAGCTTTGATCTGGAAGTTCCAACCTCCATTGAGGCCTCGGTAACTGTCACACCTACAAGGCAGGGCCAAGAGAGGGCCCTGAAGACCCGAGATCCAGATGCGCCATGCTCTCTTGGTTCCTGGACCCCGGACACTAGAGGTAGACCGAGCAGAGTTCTCCAGAGAACACCGCCGGACTGTGCTTCGTCTTCCCCAGACCCTGCAACCTACCTATCCCTTCATTTGTAAGTCACGCCACTAATAAACCTCCCTTTTAACTATGTGGAGTGGCCTTAATAATTTCACCAATAAGTTTGCTCTTTTATATTCTGTCCAGATAGAATCTTGATGGATCTATTCTACATCCTTTCCACCTTCAGACCCTTAGAAGACAAGACATAGCTTTCTGTATTTTCTCTGGAGTTGTCCTCAGAGACATGAGGTCTATGTATAAGCTGACTCGTCCTTGTTAATGACACAAAAAATCATCCTGGGAGTCTGTAGAGCTACACAGTTTTCTAGGACTATTCATATGTGGTTGTGTTTATTGAATTTTCACAGACACTTGAGACAGGAACTACTTCGTGTAATGATGAGGAAGCTAAAGCAAGGAAATCTCAAGGAACCTCTCTGGGGTTGTAGCCAGAATGAAGTTGGACTAGAACTGAAACTCCGAGCCACTTGCTTGGCAGCGAATGATCTCTGTACTGTTTCTGCCTTTCCTTGCTGGTAGTTGGCTGGTGGCAGTCAGGAAGGGTGGTCCAGAATATGCAGTCATTACACATCTACTGTCTGACTGAACTTGTCAGAGGTGCTCCTTGATTGGACAAAAGGCTAAGCCCAAGATGTACAGCCAGATCTGAGTATGTAGAGGGCTGGTCCTGCACATTCCCCTTCTGTTCATATCTATGGGAGTTGCAAGCCTGCTGGCTCTTGGGAAATGTTCTTCATCTCAGAACTAAAAAGCATATTTTGTTTTCCTTTCTGGGTCACATTGCCTCATTGACAATCACATATAAACTACCAACCCTCTCTGCATGAAAATGTGCACCCAGAATTTTTTTAAAAAAATTTTTCCCTTAATGTCCATGATTATTAAGGTCGGATGACCCTTCCAAGAACAACAACAGTAAATTTAGGATGGTGTCTCTCTCTGGACTTTGAAGGTTGGTACCATTCACTTTCAAGAAATTTATGTGAATGCTTGAATCGGAGAAAACTGTGTTCACATTTGACCGAGGTGTTTGCTTTTGCTTTGCTCCTGCAGGCGAGAGTGCCATGCCAATGTCACAGTTGGCTGTGGTCACTAGCCGGCTGCCTGGTAACGGCACAGTTTGTGCATTCCAGGGCCAGGCTCCAGAGAGGCAGAAACACCGCAGGGGAGAGGAAGTGCAAGCCCCAGGTTCCTGACATGAACGTTCTTGATGTTGCAGCTGAAAGACCTCATTATTGTCCCGGAAGATACTGTAAGAACAAAGGCACCATTTTCAGGATAGAGGGCTATGTGTTGTTGTTAATTAAATATTTTTTTGACTATGGTATTCAGTTCCAAGCATGACAGCAGGAGGCTTCGGGGCATGAGCTCATCTAGGCAGCTTCTTCTAATCCATGGGATAAGGAGTGTGCATCCCCACTTGCTCACAAGACTCCTTTATTTGAATTATGACAAATAACAGGCACAGACAGCATTGAGGGAATGCTTTCCTATTCATTTCAACAAAGGAGTGATAAAGTATATAGGGCAGTGACATGATTTTGTTGTTTCTTTTCACACTTAAGATTGTCTGTCAAAGAATAATATAATGTATAAGAAAATTAAAGGGCCATGAATTTGAAAGAGGAGCAAGGAGAGGTCTATAGAAGGGTTTGGAGGGACAAAAGGGACAGGGCAGGGGGGTAAGATAAGATAATGTAATTATATTATAATCTCAAAAACTAGAAGCAGTGATGAAAACGATGTGAAAGTAATATACAGAAAACCATGGGGTATTGCTTACAGGGTTTTGCTGCAGACTGGAAGTGTATCAAGGTAGCTTCAGTACCTCTGTGTGACGATTTCACATTTTATTTTCCTGGGTGTGGTGAGGGGAGGGGGAATGAGCAGGGAAACACGGGTGAAGAGATGAAGCTGGGCTCAGCTGCACTTCTGCCAGGAACCACTGATGTGGTCATTAGCAGGAATTCACTTCCCTTTCTCGTCCTTATCTGTAAGGAAGGCGAGCCACGCTGCAAAGCCATTGAGGCTCAGAAACAGCATTCTTTTTTTTTTTTTTTTAATGAAGAAATTTTCTATTCACTTTACATACCAAACACAGATCCCCCTCTCCTCCCTCATTCTGCCCCCTAAGCCTTCCCTCCCAGCCCCCCCCCATTCCCACCTCTTCCAAGGCAAAGTCTTCCATGGGGAGTCAGCAGAGCCTGGTACATTCTTCGGTTGAGGCAGGTCCAAGCCCCTTCTCCCTGCACCAAGGCTGTACACAGTGTCCCACCACAGGCACTGGGCTCCAAAAAGCTGGCTCATGCACCAGGGATGGGTCCTGATCCCACTGTCTGGGGGCCCCCTAAACAGTTCAAGATAAACAATTAACTGTCTTGCCTATTTAGAGAGCCTAGTCCAGTAGCATGGGGGTGCTGTGGGATGGTCTGTATGTCAAATTGCTCTGATTGATCAATAAATAAAACACTGATTGGCCAGTGGCCAGACAGGAAGTATAGGCGGGACTAACAGAGAGGAGAACTGAGAGAACAGGAAGGCAGAGGGAGACACTGCCAGCCGCTGCCATGACAAGCAGCATGTGAAGATGCCGGTAAGCCACGAGCCACGTGACAAGGTATAGATTTATGGAAATGGATTGATTTAAGCTATAAGAACAGTTAGCAAGAAGCCTGCCATGGCCATACAGTTTGTAAGCAATATAAGTTTCTGTGTTTTCTTGAATGGGTCTGAGCGGCTGTGGGACTGGCGGGTGATAGAGATTTGTCCTGACTGTAGGCAAGGCAGGAAAACTCTAGTTGCATGAGGGCTCCACAGCTATTGGTCCACAGTTCATGCATTTCCACTAGTTTGGCTGGCCATCTCTGTACGTTTTTCCCATGATGATCTTGATGTCCCTTGCTTATAGAATCCTTCCTCTCTCTCATCGATTAGACTCCTTGAGCTTGGCCTTGAACCCAGCCTGGATCTTTGTATCTGTTTCCATCAGTTACCAGATGAAGGCTCTATGAAGACAGTTAGGGTACTCACTAATCTGATTACTGGAATAGGCCAGTTCAGGCTCCCTCTTGGCTCTTGCTAGTAGTCTAAAGTGGGGTCATCCTTGTGGATTCCTGGGAACTTCCCTAGCACCCTGTTTCTCCCTATTCCCATGATACCTCCCTCTATCATGGTATCTCTTTCCTTGCTCTCCCACTCTGTCCATGTTCCAGCTTGAACCTCCTGGTCCCTGATGTTCTCATATCCCCTCCCTTGCCCTCCATTACCCACCCTTCACCCCCAGTTTGCTCATGTAGATCTCATCTATTTCTCCTTCACTGGGTGATCTATGCATCCTTCTCAGGGCCCTCCTTGTTAGCTAGCTTCTCTGGAGCTGTGGGTTGTAGTCTTGTTATCCTCTGCTTTACATCTAGTATCCACTTTTGAGTGAGTACATACTGTGTTTGTCCTTCTGAGTCTGGGTTACCTCACTCAGGATGATATAGAAACAGCATTCTTTATGAAAGGACAGACTTGCTTTCACCTTCTGTCATGTGGCTATGAGTTGCTTCAGGGTATTTTAATCTAATAGCTGAACATGAAAGAAATCTGTGGTCCATGCCCAGGATGTGGGGCTTCCAAAATACGTTACAATCTCCTCAATACAACATAGGGGTCATTGCACTGAGAAATACAGCCAGAGCTTTTTCTTACTTTCTTCAGATTTTTCTCTCCAGGTCTAGAGTGGTTCATTTTGGTTTTGTAGAAATTCACATGGTGAGTCAGATCCATGTTTGTGAGATGTATCCCTTAGATTCAGTCTATTACCTTATTTTATTATTATTATTTTTTAAATAATAACTTCTAGAAATTGTTGAGAAGCACTCTACCTGAGAAGTCCTGGGGCAATGCTTAGGCCTGTTCATCATGAGAGAGCCTAAGGAAGATCACCTCCTTTGGCTGAAATACTCACTCATCATACAGGAGATACCATTTCCATGATTTTAATTTTTATTGATGTCCCGTATCATGGCCCAGAGATACTCTTGGAAGCTGATGGCCAAAGTTCTGAATGAAATATTTTACAAAAAAAAAAGAGAGAGAGAGAGACAAATATATGTTTATTGATGTTTTCAAAGGCTTGAGGTAGGGGAGCTAAGGTATGCTGATGCAAATGTAAACAGGCTAGGGAGGAGTCTGTGATGTAAGTGTAATACTTGAACACTGATGTCAGTTGCTCCAACTTTTAACATATAAGGAGTAGATTCATTTGAAAACTATATTTCAGAAATGTTTCCTTTCTTTTATCAAATTGGGGACACCTTTGTCAAAATTGTCTTTTTATTTACAGTTTCTTTCACATTCTAGTCTCCTCTAGAGGTCGATTCATGAACTCTTGAATGGCCTGGTCCAAAGGAAGCCATTTTTTGATTGATGTTTTCAAAGCTGTAATCCAGCTGCAAGAGAAAGAAAAACAGAACAGATCATTAAACCTGTCAGGCCCTGGGGAGGTAAAATATGACAGAACTCTTTAATTTATTTTCTAATTGTTTCTCTTGGTTATTTAGTTTGGAATTAATGGGAAAAACATACTCTATAGATTTCAGGTTGAATGAGAAGGCAAAATGTGGAGATGGCTCAATAATAAAAGTAAGGGGCATAAGTAGAAGAGATGAAGATGTTCAGTATAGTGATCAATGGAGCCATATCATCTGAAAAATTGTTAATAGTATTTTGTTATTTTCATTTAACCTTAAGCGTTGTTGATCAAACATGAAATAAATATTGTTATATTGGTAAAAGTATTTCTTTGTTAAATTCCAGAAACCATACATACCCTCTAATTAATCCCCCTTTTCTTTCTCTTGATTTTATATTCTTGGACAATGTTTTATGAAACATTGTTTCTAATGGCAGGAGCTGCATTACTATCCAACAAAAAATAACAACCAGAAACAGTTACCCAAGAATATTTCCAACAGGCTATTTCAGAAACACTAACAAATGAATTTGTGGGTCTCTGGGTGTGGACTGTAACTTTATCACTTTCTAAACTTACTTTAGGGGTAAGTGGAATAACATGAGCTCTAAGTTCTATCCAGTTTTTGTCTTTACACTGTTACTCTTTGAAATATTCCTCCAATGGTTCAATATTTTTGTTTGCTTGTTTGTTTTTTACTGTAAAAGAGTGCCGTATGAATCTAGCAGTCAGCCCCAACTATTGAACCTGCTGGAACAGAGAAACTAGTAGGTTTTATCAGATGGGACTTAGATCAGTTTCAGTGATTCTTGCTCTGGTGTGCTGGTTGGAGCCTTATCATGTGTATCTGCTGGCCAGATGTCCAGAAGAGAGCCAAGGCAGCATGCCCAGCAGCGACACACCTGCCTCGGACTCCTGCACCTCCTTTAAAGGTGAGGCCCAAACAACATTTACATAGTGGGAAGAGACAGATGAGGTCCTTAATCTCTTGCCTAATTGGCTATTTGAGGGCGATCCCTAAAGTCCCACTTTTGTAATTTTATTTGTGTTTAAAACATGATTTCTTATAAATGTCCCTAGAAAAGTTATAGCAGGGTCATCTACTGGCTTCAGTAAGGAATTTATTTATGGGATCCTTGTAGTTGTAATAAAAGGCCTGGGACAGGTGGGAGATTATTGTGATGCAGGTGAGGGGAGGCACGGAGTACAGAGGGCATGGGCATCTTGGGGAGGCTGGAGAGGTGGAGGAGGATGCTGAGTAACTTTTTCTCTACAGTTTGTGTCTCGTGACTTCACCTCTCTTGTATTTCAGAATCATTTGATTTCAATGTTCATTTGTGAATGACAGCCTGAGATTGAATACACCACAAATTAAATTTGTTTTATTTCCTTCACTGGCTTACGATAAAACAATCAACCAAATATAAATGGACACATCCATGCAAGTTATGTGAAGAAGTCAAATGACAGATCTATGTTTTACACAATTAAGATGTGCTAATAAATAAATTTAAAAATCTATGGAGTATTTACAAATTGTAAATGGTGGTGGTGTGTTTGTTTCTTTGTTTTTTCCTTAATATTGAAGCCTGAGGTACCCACTGTCCTGGCAGGAATTCTGGTTACTCTATCTTCATTTGGGGAAAAAAGTATCTCTAGAGAAGTCACTGAAAAAGGGATGAAAGAAAAATAATCTTGGAGAATAGTCAGTATGAAACCTACAGAGAAAGGATGGATTTCCCTTAAGGAGTGGAATTGGAAAACGAGGGGGTGAGTTTACGAAGGAGACCTTGTCAAGGTTGACACAGAGGGAGGGTGGGGAGGTCTTGGCTGACCACTTGTGGAGACTAACACACACAGGGGAGGACAGGAGGTCTTGGCTGACCACTTTTGGAGACTAAGACACACAGAGGGAGGAAGGGGAGGTCTTGGCTGACCACTTGTGGGGACTAAGACACACAGAGGGAGGATGGCAGGTCTTGGCTTACCGCTGATTTTCTGTTTTATTTTCTGCACAGAAATAGAAAGTCCTGAACTCTTCTGATGGAGGTTTGAGTTCAATTACTGATTGTTCGAAGCCATGGGTCTGTTCAGTCACCCTATATCCTTGGAGATACAGGCCGCCTACACAGGGTGAAATCAAAGATGTGGGGTGGGGTGGGCAAGAGAGAACAGGGAAAGCAAGGATGAGAGAGCATCAGAAAAGGTGTTAAAATTCTGTGTATGAAAGGACTGCTTTTCTAGCTCTGTCATCACAGGTGAGGAAAGTAACTTCAAAAGAGGCCACACACTGAGTAGTGCCCAGTAGCAAGAGTGGCAGCAGAATTTGAACTTCTCGGTTCCATTTGCAAGTGATCGGTATTTATCTTTTCAAACTCTGTGCATGGATAAGCTTCTTTACCAGGAGGACATAGTTTTGAAATAAAGTTTCCACTGTCAAAGAGGAATAGCTGGAATGCCATATTAGAAGAAAATTAAATAGTATTTAAATAGTATTTCTTGGGGGCGGAGTCCTTAAAACATACTCCCTGAAGTGTGATAAAGGCTGCAGGCAGTTTCTACAACCAGCACAGATTCTCACCCTCTTTGTGCACTGCAAATCCCACCTAAAATATGTCTCCACAGGGTGATACTAAAATGCCAACTTGAATTGGCAATGAGAATAGATAGGTTTACTCACCAGTGATAAAAAGTAATTTTCCTCTCATGGTCATTTAAATCTAAGAGTATTCCTTGGTGTGAATTTTGTTCCCTTTTTGAGGTTTGTAAGGATCGTGGTCTAGGAGAAGATTCTGAAGGGTCAAAACTCTTGTCTGTTTCTTCTGCTCTGAGGTAGCCCAAATCTCTTGCAGAGACCCAGGCATTATTAGTAATAGTAATGCTAGGATGTTTAGAGATTCACCACTCCCATGTCACCTTGCTGTCATCCCCTAGCACCTCCAACAGTGACCACAGTGCACTTCATTACAAATGCAAACAAAAAAAATGCTACAGTCTACTTGATAGCCTCAGCCATGATGATGTGGAAGTATGAAAGTGGAGCTTGAGTAGGGTTGACTCTGGCTTCCTTTAAGTCACTCACTGTCAGCTTACTGTGCGAGGAAGACAGGCATTTTCATGTTACGCAGAATGAAGGGTTTTATACTTTAGAAGTTAGGAGGGGTTGCTTATTTTTATGGGGGATGCAAAAGGTGATATTAAATTCCCTTTTTAAATTTTCAGTTGAAAAGAGTCCATTTTGGAACTCTTGGTTTCTGCTCTAGCCACGTGTCAGTCTGCTCTTCCCAACCGTGATGGGTCATAACCCTCTGGAACCCAAAGCCCTAAACTCTTAGTTCTATGAGTGGCCTTGGTCATGCACTTTATCACAGAGCTAGAATAACAACAAATACATGGTTCCATCCTCTCATACCCTCCTCCCTGCACACCAACCTGTCCACTTTTCCTCCAAGTCTTGGGAAAACATTGACTTCAGAAGTGGATAGATATTTTCTTCTACCTTAGTTGACCTCAGGGGTATGGTGCTCACCCAATAGGGTGATACCATTCTCTGAGATAGGCTGAGAGATGAGGAGTAGACGGGATGGAAAAACTTATTGCAATATCACTGAGTCTTCATATGGAGGGTACAGATCAAAGGTCTTAGTTTACTTACAGCATTTGTATGATCATCAGCATAACTTTCCTCATGTCAGACAGAAACATCACCCATAAACAGTCACTCCTTATCTGAGGTGCCACCCCAGCTGTTGATAATCTCTACCTACTCTCCTCTCTACGTAGTTGCTCGTTTTCCTGCAGAACCGAATAGAAAAGCCATCTCACAGGACACACTCTTCTGTGTTTGCTTTCTTTCACTTAGCAGAGTGTTTCCAGGGTTCACCCGTGTTAGACATCAGTTCTTGATTTCATTGTAGCATGATGCTCCATTGTGTGGACATAGCACATCTTTTATCTCTGTGTTCACTAATTGTTGGCAGCTGAGACTTGCTCAGAGAGGTGAAGTCACTGTCTTCGGTGGTATAACTACTTGTGCTCCAGTGGATGGCTCCACACCTGGGCTGATGGGGACATCAGTGGGTCACCAAAACAAAAGACAGGAAAGTGTGACAGGGATTTGGAGGGAAGGTGGACAGGTTGGTGTGCAGGGAGGAGGGTATGAGAGGATGGAACCATGTATTTGTTGTTATTCTAGCTCTGTGATAAAGTGCATGACCAAGGCCACTCATAGAACTAAGAGTTTAGGGCTTTGGGTTCCAGAGGGTTATGACCCATCACGGTTGGGGAGAGCAGACTGACACGTGGCTAGAGCAGAAAGCTAAGAGCATATAGCTTGAACCACAAGCAGGAAACAAAGACAGCTCATTGGGAATGGCAGCAGCTTCTGGAACCTCAGTGCCCACCCCCAGTGATGTAATTCCTCTAGCAAGGCACACCTCCTAACTACACTCAAACAGAGCCAGTAACTAGAAACCGAGGATTCAAATTCCCGAGACACGGGGGAGATACCTCATCCAGACCACCACAAAGTGTATGACCAGAATGTATTATATTCATGTATGAAATAGTAAAAACCAATAGATATTAATAAATGAAAGAATTAAAAAAATTGTTGCTACAAACAACAAAGCCTTGCAGACGTCTTCCTAGTCACTTGCAGGGCTTACATGACGGTGAAGCTTGAGCTGTAAACCCCAGAAGCTCACTTAAGGACGTTTCTCTGGGTCTAAGCTGCTTCATTAGTAACAGTAATTATCAGTCCAGTCCCATGTTAGCCGAAAGAACTGTGTGAGCATGATTTGCCCTGTTTACTGTAACAGGGTAAAATAATCTTTCTGAGAACTGCACCCAGACCTTGATGTGATTTAGTGACAAACAACAGCCGACCGTCATGATTTGCTACTTCTAGCTCTTGCTGGAGAGAGATAAAAGGGAATGTGGGCACAGCTTTATGTGAAGGCCCTTGACGAAGGGACTTTTGAAATAGTCTTAATATTAGCAGGCACATGAGGGCCAGCAGTACATTTTGCTAAAGGACAAATAACTCTTTTGAGACTTAAGCAAAGAAAGCCTTCCGGGAACTGAATTCTCTCCAATTCACCCACTGTCCCCTAGAGGCATATATACCTAGCTGAAAGAGAAAATGTGGGTTTAGTGCCTAATATAGTTCTTACAGGAAGCCAGGGCTACACTGTTTTCCACAGCTCATTCCCTCCCCCCTCCTTTCTACTTTTATTTTTTTTCCTCTCACTTCTTATTATCCTCAGTATTTTCTCAGCACTACAGATAAAAAGAAATAGCATGCCAATATAACTACAGCTACATTCAGGAAGAGGTAGTATTATATGAGGTTTCCCAGCTCTGCAGAAGGGTCAGTGGACTAAAATGAAAACTATTTAGAATATAGAAAACAGTGAAGAAACTCAGAGGGACAGGATGTGACCACAGGAGTCTAGTGTCAATCTGGAAGCAACAAATGGCAGGTGCATTACAGTGAAATCCAAAAGCAATGACTAGCTTTATATTTCTTCTTCTAAGATTCTGACATAAAACTCACCATTGGAGCTCAGTGGTGGTGGTATACACACACACACACACACACACACACACACACACACACACACTTAATCCCAGCACTCAGGAGGCAGAGGCAGGTGGATCTCTGTGAGTTCGAGGCCAGCCTGGTCTACAGTGTGAGTACCAGGACAGGCTCCAAAGCTACACAAAGAAATCCTGTCTCGAAACAAACAAACAAACAAACAAACAAAAACATTACCCATTGGAGTAGGCATGTACTCAGAGACTAAAGGCTTTTGCGTATCAGTATTTTTCTAATTATTTTGGTTGTGATCCAAAGGTCTTACAAATGAATATTATTGTATGTTTTAATATAATTGACTAAAAGTCTTGAGAGGCACTACAATATACCATGTTTTTTTCATTTAAAAAGAATTTTATTTATTAATTAGTGTATGTGTGTGAGTATTTGTGTGTGTGTTTGTGTGTGTGTGAGAGAGAGAGAAAGAGATAGATAGACAGGAAAGAGAGAGAATACCAGGCATGTAAAGGTCAGAGGATAACTGTCACGAGTGTTTTCTCTTCTTCTATCAGGGTTTCTGGGGGTAGAACTCAGAGCATCAGGCTCCAGTCTTATTCACTGAGCCACCTCATTGGTGTGTCCCATGTTTCTAATTCAGTTGTTTTAAAAATAACCACAACTGACCACACTGTTTCTATGACTTAGAAACTGACCGAGAGCGCTCAGTGTGAGAAGCCCTGTAGTAAACAGTAATCAAGGTCTGGTTCAGGGTTACGACTGCCTGGGGAACGAAGATACAGAGAGTTGTAACTTGTATTAGAGCTATTCAGAGCTCTTTGTGAGCACAGCCAAAGCTAGAATTATAGATTAGAGCATGTCAAGTGTTACTTCTTTAGCATCTCTGGCAAGAATTAAAGATGAGTACTAGAACTCTGGTGTGTGTGTGTGTGTGTGTGTGTGTGTGTGTGTGTGTGTGTGTGTGTGTG